ATGGAGACCGATCCTGACACAGTCAGAATAATACAGAAATAAATAAATGCTCAATAAATAAATAAGCATCCAATTAAATATACACAAAAAAAAAAAGTAAATAAATAAATGTTGGTATTATTAAATTATACAGGACATAAATGTATATATTTTAATTAGTGCCTTTACTTATTCACCTTTGTTATAATTACCTTATTTATTTATTCTCCCTTATAATCTTCAACTTTATTTATACTAATTTTTAATATATTTATTTATGTTGTGTTTTAATATTTTTGTCTGTTTTATTCTTCCTTTGTATTTTTCTACCTTATTATTTTCACCCATGGTATTTTTTCTGCCTGTCCTTTTTAAATTTCTGTATGCATTTCTGACTCATTATGCAAATGAGGAGGGCTGTGTCTCAAGGGGTCCTCTCTGCTATTGGTGGACCAGTCAGACAGGAGAGCTCTAGGCCTACTCTGCCTGCAGACATCAACGATCTTGCCCCTCACACAGTCAGATGGCTTCCTTCATGCGCTGAGGTGTTTAACAACTCTGAAGACACTACCAGCCATGTCTTCCTTCTCTTTTCACGTAGACGCTCCGACAGACAGTGCTTTCAGTTTGCTGCATGCATGGACACAGAACTGCGGTACAGCACACGTAACGATGAAATGTGGCTGTTATCACATTCTTCCTCTGTATGTACACATAAACAACAAGGCAGGGAAATATAAAAGGAATTTATTTTATTGTTTGGGTACATTATTGTTCAGTGTACATGCTCACATCTGAACCAAACTTTGCGTGCTTGATAACTCTCTGACCCCCAGACATCTACACGTCAATACCGATTTATATTCATAGCGGCAAGTGCTATGTAGCTCCACATAGGGGACACAGGAAGTGACATATAGCACCTTCATGCGGCGACATAACCGCGTAGGAAATTCACAGCCGCACCGGCAGAGCTCCAGAATATGCAACTCGGCCGGCTCACACGCGGACGCGCTTACAAGTGCGAGGGCCCGCCCAACGCTGCTTGCAGCTTTAATTCTGTCCGTTTCTCTCTTTACAAAGACGCACGTTGCAGTCAGAGTCTTCTCTGAAGAGGGCAATGAAGTCTCAGTAGTACCCGATGCGAGCACCACATACAACACAATTTATCAAATTACACAATGGATATACAGTATGAAATAAGATTGATTATACTCACAGAAGTATAAAACCTGTTACATGCGTAACACAGTAATGTCAGGGAAATTACTTTACTTAGATTTAAGTACTGCAGTTGTACATTTGAAATACCTTCCTACCTTTCTGATAGGAAGCCTTCTTGAGGTGGTATAAAACATTTCTTCTTATATTCTGATTTGAGTTGTGGACAACTATGACCACTTGAATTAAAAAAATTAAACATTTCACTGCCCAAGTCAGCTATAACACAAGTCTTGTTCATCAGACTACATGCTGTACAGTATTTGTGGACAGATTTTGTCCCAGGATTTATTATGCATTTCTTCTTCTTCGTTGCATGATTTAGAATAATAAGGTGAGAAATGGGTCTATTCTGAGTTCATCCTGCACTGCAGCAGCTAATAAAGTCCATTTAATCCCAAAAATGCTTTTTTTTTAGGCAGGCTGGAGCAGAAAACAACTCACCTTTCTCAAGTTGTACAGTAATGTCACATGTGTATGAAGGTGGATCAAACAAGCTAATCTTAAATGTCAAAGTAGAGAGGAGCCTAGTAGGCCTATTTATTTTCATTCATTACACAATATGAATAAGCTATGCAGACAGTTGTAAAGAAAGAACATCTTTTTCTTCTGTTCTCTGCTTGTTATAGTTACATAGTATTAGGGGTGTGGGCTGTATTAAAAGTATCCTATGTTCTCCCATGCTGTAACACACACTAACGATGAAATGTGTGCTGTTCTCACATTCTTCCTCTGTATGTACACATAAACAACAAGGCAGGGAAATATAAAAGGAATTTATTTTATTGTTTGGGTACATTATTGTTTAGTGTACATGCTCACATCTGAAACAAACTTTACGTGCTTGATAACTGTCCCACCCCGCAGACATCTACACACCGGCTCACACGCGGACGCGCTTACAAGTGCGAGGGCCCGCCCAACGCTGCTTGCAGCTTTAATTTAACTTAGTTTCACTTTCTTACAGGGTCATTCATTGCTCATTACAAGAAAACTGTATCATAAACTAAAGTCAAACCACATCAGGTCACATCTACTCGCTTCACACATCATTTGTATCCTGGATGTTCTCTGGAGTCAATTAAATTAAATTTATTTATTTTATTTATTCATATAACACCAATTCATAACAGAAGTTATATTGTTTCTGCTCTGATCTTATGAATCTTCAGGTCTCCTTTAAACATGCAGCATTCAACAACATGTAGTAATTTTATCTTGAACAGCTTCAAAATCATTTTTATAGTACACTGGCTTTTAATGGGTAAATGACATCTCTTTAATTGCCACATCGGGACCAGAGTGCATTCTATTTTAACATTGGTCTCTATCAGGACAACAGCGTAATGCTTTGCAGTTTGATACACCCATGCTTGGGGGCATCAGTCTGCTTTCAGAGTTAAGAAGCCACAGCCAGACAACGTCTCAGCATGTGTTGCGGTGGACTTATTGTCTTGCTATGTCATACTAAGCTCTGCCTTTTGAATTCTGGCAGGTCATAGTAGATCCTACTAATGTCAAACTCTTTTTTGTAGGGCAGTAAGTCCTGTAGTGTTATCTTGTCATTCTGGCCGGTCCACACAGTTAGAGTGTACCTGTGAGCAACATGGGAAAGCATACATATTTAATGAAAACTCAAAGGTATTAACATATTACATGTCAGTGCAAAATTCAGATTCAGATTCATTTAAGATTGTGGTACACAGACAAGGTAAAGCTAGAGTGGCTGAAATATATCCAGTGCTGGGGAGTAACTAGTTACATGTAATTTAGTTACGTAAAGTAATTACAAAATAAAATGTTACTGGGAAAAAATGTGTTTAAAATGTGTGTAAATTAAATTACAGTTACTTACAAAAACGTTAATGATTACCATTGGGGGTTACATCTGAATATTTTCTATAAAAATCTAGACTATATGTGGAATAATATTCATCTTGTTGCTTTGCATATATTCCATGTGCACAATGTCTTTTTTTGCCATTTCCAGCCACAGCCGTTTAGTAAAGTTTGATGCTGTTCTGATGCTTGATTGGTTCTCATGTTTGAATTTCCAGCCTCTCCGCCTCTCCCCCTCTTAAGCTAAACAGTTAAATTTAGATAAGTAATCAAAAAGTGATTAAATATAATAAGTTACATTACTTTGAAATGTAACTGAAAAAGTTACACTACATTACATTTTAAATAGGGTAACTTGTAATCGGTCACCTAATACATTTCCAAAGTAACCTTCCCAACACAGATTATATCCTCTGATTCTGAGTCTGATCCAAAATCTGACCATTGTGGTGAGTCCCACGCAAATCTGAAGTATTGGTCCTGTCCACAACTGCAATAATTTTGATCTTCAGTGTTTGAAATATTATCTACTGTCTTACAAGAAGAAGGCTATTACTATTGTGGTAATCTCCAAAACCACTTTCCTTTCCAATCTGGATGAATGATGTGGTGTTTTTTTTTTAAGTGTGGAAAATATTTAATTCTCTCTTAGGGGAGTCACTTAAGGTTTCTTCAAGTTATGTAGTTATGTATAATCTGTCCCTCACAACTTGGTCTATTAAGTATGCTGGCACCTCTGTAATCTGTCATTCTATCCCATTTAATGCGCTAAGTAACACTGTTTAACTTCCTAAGGAGTCCCAGCCAACTCCTCTTTTCTGTCTCTCTCTTCGCTTTTTTGTTACTTCTTGACTAGTGATGTTAAAGTTACAGTAACAGTAAAAGATGGTGATATATAAATGACTATGTAGCTGTAGGAGTCTTGTGCAGCTCTCCCCGAAATATGTTTTATGCAAGTCCTCTTTTCCCCAAATCTCTACAACAGAGCTAGTGAATGCAAAGTTAGCAAGACCGTAGAGCCACAACAGCCACATTAATGGGAAATAAACCAGGCTGAAATAAACGATAATTTTTGTTTAACATAGCATAATGACAGAAGTGAATCTAAGCAGAGAGAGTAATGCTGATAAGGGCCTGGCCCCTCTGTGCTGATAATCACCTGTCTGACTGCTGCAGCAGCCATCTGAGCTGGGAGAATGACTGGGCCAGGAGATCTGCACGCACTGGGAAGGTGACTGGATGTTTAAGGGTTCTACACATCTCCTCCATCACGTGCACCATAGCCCAGCTGTAACCTGACAATATCAAAACAAGACATATGAATGTGTAAGATTTCTTTCTCACAGTATCCAGCTGTCACAAGCCATTTGTTTGAGATGTAACACTCTTTTTTTGTTGGGAAGTGGTTTAAAGGATAAGGCTGGTGTTAGTCAATCTTTATCTTGTCATGCTGACCAAAATCAACCATAAACATAGCATACTATGTGTATCAAAGCCAGATATACAACATCTTATTCCTCTGTCGCACAGAGCTCCACTGTTTATAAATATGAGACACACTGCACTGGAAGACATGTTCCACTACCATAACACACACACACAGTTTATTTGAAATCCCACATACACCGTCCTGCTGCCAAAAATACTCACTAGTGTACACCAAATGTTGATTATTTCTCTGTAAAACTAGTTCCCATCAAACGCACAATTTCCTCTAATCTGAGAAGCTATTTTACTAATTACTGAGCCTTTCTAAAAAATGACAAAGGATGTTCAGAATGGGTCAGTCAAACATTTGCCTGAACTACTCAAGTAATATCTCTAGCTATGTGCATCCGTCCAAAAGTTATAGCAGAGGATATGTAAAGACCTATCAACAGCTTAGGTATCCTATCCCAATTTTCCCTGCTGGGAGACCTTAGCAATATTTGCATAGAGGCTGACAAATCATACATGCTTCTCACTGCCCTATACATCGCCAAAAAAACCATCCTCATGAACTGGAAGGCTGAAAAGAATTTAAGTATCACATTAAAGCTGCAAGCAGCGTTGGGCGGGCCCTCGCACTTGTAGCGCGTCCGGGTGTGAGCCGGCCGAGTTGCACATTCTGGAGCTTTGCCGGTACGGCTGTGAATTTGCTACGCGGTTCCGACGCCACATGAAGGTGCTATATGTCACTTCCTGTGTCCCCTATGTGGAGCTACATAGCACTTGCCGCTATGAATATAAATCGGTATTGGTGTGTAGATGTCTGCGGGGTGGGAGAGTTATCAAGCATGTAAAGTTTGGTTCAGACGTGAGCATGTAAACTGAAGTTACAACAACTTCCTGTGTCATGGCGAAGAGTTGATCTTTGACGCCACGCCACGGACACAACCATTGACGAAAACTCGCAAATAGCACAACTTTTCATCTTCAATGCCTTTAGAAGGCACAGCAGAAATTTGAAGTCGATCGGACTAAATCCCTAGGAGGAGTTCGTTAAAGTACGAAGTGTGTAAATCATCCAAAATTTGACGTAAAAATTCAAAATGGCCGACTTCCTGTTGATTTTAGGGCATCGCTCCAAGAGACTTTTTTGTGCGTCTGGACAAGATACACGTACCACAGAAAATTCGTGCACGTAGGTGAAACGTGCGGCGGGGGCTGCTTCGTTAAAAGTCGCTTCCTGTTGCCAGCAGGTGGCGCTATGACTGTGGGTGAATGTCGACATGTTCAGGGCGGGACTCTCATCCTACATGTACACTTTGGTCCAGATGTGAGCATATACACTGAAGTTACGACAACTTCCTGTGTCATGGCGAAGAGTTGATCTTTGACGCCACGCCACGGACACGCCCATTGACGAAAACTTGCAAATAGCACAACTTTTCATCTTCAATGCCTTTAGAAGGCACAGCAGAAATTTGAGGTTGGTCGGACTAAATCCCTAGGAGGAGTTCGTTAAAGTACGAAGTGTGTAAATCATCCAAAAATGGCCGTAAAATTCAAAATGGCCGACTTCCTGTTGACTTTAGGCTATGGGTTCTTGAGGCTTTTTTGTGCGTCTTGATATGATACATGTCCCCAGAAAATTTCGTAGATGTAGGCTGAACGTGAACGAGGGGCTAATCTTTTCCAATTTTCTAGGTGGCGCTAGCGAGTCATTTTGCAACGCCCATGTGCGAAACTTGTAGAATACGAAATTTTTCACCGGTTCTGACATGTTTGCAAATTTTGGTGAGTTTTCGAGCATGTTTAGGCCATGTCATCAACTGACATGCAGGAAAAAAAAATATATATATATATAATCCGAGCAAATTCAATAGGGACCTCGCACGGTCGTGCTCGGGCCCTAAATATATATAATCTCAGCAAATTCAATAGTGACCTCGCACGGTCGTGCTCGGGCCCTAAATATAGGAATCTCCTGTTAGGTTACATTAGCATGGAGCGAATGTCTGCTTCCTCAAAAAACCAAGTGTCAGAATTTCAATCTCTCTGGTCTCCCTTGATCAATTCTATCACTTAGTGGGCAGGTGGCCTGAGATCCATTATCTCCTCTTCTCCCAGGGGCCCTCTTCAGCAGGAGTGGTGCTCCACTGCTGTCCCCTGCTGGCTCGCTCATGAGGAGGGCATGCAATTATCCCAGGGCACATGACTGGTGCTGTCATGGTGGGTGCTGGCCCGCTCCCTTATATCTGTTGTTTATTTATATATTATTGTCTCCTCCTCCTTCTGTGTGCGTCCAGGGGTCCCCCTTCGTTTCACAGAAGGTAGGCTGTGTCATAATGAACCCACAAAAGCAGACATTATCCTTTGTGTGGATAGGACACACACACACACACACACACAACCCTGAGTGTAGTGTTATCCTATTTGCCGCTCCACACATTACGCACCCCCCCCCCCGCTGCGCATTTTCACTTTCGGCAATTGATGTGTTTCCCAGTTGTTTCCTGTTGTCTGTCACCACTCATCCCCCACCACCTGTGGCAATATACACATACATGATTAAATAAATCTGCATCTTCAGTAGAAAACTGAAACATGGTTGGTTTTGATCATAGGATTTGTAGAAAATAATTAAAGTTTAAAATATTACCAGTCTTTATCCTTTAACGCCAACATCAGAAAAATACTGTTTGCCATAACAGACTTTTCATAAATAACTAATGAGAACTGTGAAACTTGGTCAGAGTAATAAAAATGACTCAAGTAAATAAAACCTTTGTTAAGTGATATCTGTTATATGAACATTTAATAAAATGAAAAAAGTTTTTGTTCTGATCATAAAGAATAGTTTAAAAATCATCTTTTAAACTTCAAATAAATAATGATTTGACATTTATTGTGATAATTATCAATATTAAATTATGACTTTTTTTTACTGTGATAACATTTTTGGCCATTTCGCCCAGAGATGGACAAACCGACGTGTCTAGAACTAACAAGCACCATGATGGTCTACTGTTGACTTTGTGTGTCAGGGTTCAGAAAGAAACAGAGAGCTGTGTGGTAAATGGTCTGTCCATATATAGTGCCTTTCATTCACCCACTGGTGATATGGTAATGCAAGGTGCCACTGCTCATCAGGAACAGAAACTAAAATATCTGAATAAAATTTATCTCAAAATGAATACTCTGAGGTTTACATGTGTATATAATATTTTTCTTCTATTATTAGTAGTATAAATGTATTCAAACAGCCAGTGGTCTTGATGTGTCTTGACCTGGGTTCTCTGTCCCAGCAGTCCATCCTGTGGTCCACCCAAGAGAGAGCACGGTGTGAGTGGGGAGGGGGCTCACAGCAGAAAGGAAAGCCTGAGGCTCCAGAGGTCTCGCCTGTCCCCCAGGACCAGAGAGGATATCCGCATTAATCCACACAGGACGGTTCGGCTCAGCCAGCACCTCCTCCAGCAGAACCAGGGACGGAGACACCGCCTCCAGGCTGCATGGAGAGTACACCACAGTGTTAGCGTAACACACAATACTTAGACAGAATATAAGCTGGATCTCACCTCTTAAAGTCTAGTTTTATTCCCTTGCTGTGCACCTTCACTCTTTCCAGCCACTCCTTCAGTGTGATGTCACTGTCTGTGTCAGGAGGATGTGCCATTATTGGCTCTTTGGGGTCATGATCTCTCAGGATTATGTCGGCCTCAATCATATGAGTGGGACCTAGAGGTGAAAGTTGTTAGTCAAAATCATCCATGAAGAACTTCGAACAACTGCTGTGTCAACGCAAAAGTGAAATGTCTCTGAACAGGCATGGCTACAATGTAAAATCACAGATATATATTTACATTATAATCATACCTGTTCAGTTGAGACTAAATTCCAGTTTATAACTATTTAGGTCTTATTTTCTTAATTTTGACCATCAAATGTTGTTTACTATCCTTTAATGCATCTTGCATAACAATGTATTTGTCCACACCCAGTTGTGACCTTGTGTTTATTCCAATAAATCCTCCTTCATTAATGTTCATGTTTGACTTTTGTTTCAACTTTTTTAGAGAGGTTTAGAACAAGAAATATCCCATGCACATGCAACAACATTCAGGTCACTGAAATATTTATATAAATACATTTTATTATAAAAAAAATAATAAATAACATTATTAAATGTAATATGTTTGTTTTATTTTTTTAATATGACATATGACCTAGATATGCTTGCTGCCACCCAGGAGAACCACATTAATCTCAAGGAATATACATCAGTGACATCAAAAAAAGCATATACAACACCGCCAGAGGAGACTTCAAGCTGGCATCAAGGAGTGCGAGAGATCAAAGCAGAGAGGCCCCATACTACAAACTTGTGCCAATCAGCTAGCTGATGTTATTACGGTCATTTTCAGCATATCACTGTCTAAGGAAAGTGTTCCCACCTGCTTCAAGACAGCCGCCCACCATCGTCTCTGTACCTAACAAGTACCTTGTATTATGTGTAGAGCTGGACGAGACGGACCAAAAATCCTACCCAAATAAACAACAAAACATGATCGTCAAGTGTAGGTGCGGGTGTAGCTTAGACGTATAGCAGCTCCCACCGTCTACATGTCAAATTGTCCTTCAGCAAGATACTGAACCCTAAATTGCTGCCTAAAGCTGTGTGTGTCTGTGTGTGAATGAGAATTAGTCATTCTTTCTGATGAGAAGTTGTAAGGCATGTTGTGAATGTTGACATGTTGGAAGGCGCTAAATACAGACCATTTATCAAGCGGTGACTAATCCAGTCACGGGAAAAAGGAATTATTTTAAGTTCTACAATCACTCTTGCAAATGTTCATGGTAGCAGAGCACACCTTACATCTTAATAACAGGACTATGGACGCAAATGGCCAGTGTGTTGTCAAAGAAGGACACGGTATAAATCATCCACCTGTGAGCGCCTCTGTCAGCCTGCTCCTGCTGTTGACTGCATGGGACCATCTCACCTCAGCAGCGTCCTTCTTCTTTATCTGACTCTGACTTAAGAAATACTCCAGCGTCTGGTCAGACATCTTCTCTACGAACAAAGACTTAACGTTACTGAAATTTGTTAGCGACACATTACCACCTCACAGTATGATTTTAGTTCGGTTAATAACGGTAACGTTAACATAACAGTTAACAATAACAAGATTAAAGGACAAGTATAGAAAAGTCTAGCTAGCTAGACTGCTATGACTAACAGAGAACGTAATAAAACATAGTTCACACACTTTTGATTGTTTCAACGCAAACTGTAAAACATCCTATTCCACGACAGTAACGTTACTGCATACAGTAAACAAATGAGTCTCTGCCGCTTCTTCCTCTTCTTCTTCACTTTATGTTGTGTTACAATAGTTGCTTAAATGTTGAACAGCGCCGCCTAATGTACCGGAGTATAGTATGCATAAACACGTTTTTATGTACAGTCCATGGTAAACACTCTAACTATGATAAAAAATTACATAAAACCAAACAAAGAAAGAAAAAAACACAAACTCACTAGTTTCTTCTCTTCAAAGCTCATGTTTATGATTAAAAACATACACTATATAAGAGCAAAGTCAAAGCTATGACATTTCCTGCAAAAAGTTATCAAAATCAAAGAACCAGTAGTATTTTATTGATGCAATCAACTGAAGTGAAAATAAATCTAGGAACATAAATATAACTGTATAATGGTATTATAACAAAATGAGTATGTTTTCTACACTACTGACCTTAAAGAAATAGAGGTACATCTTTTCGTGATATTTTTCATTTTATCTTTATTCACACCTTATTGCTGGTGTGGAGCAATGGAAGTGACCTGTTTATTTATTGTTCATGCATGTAAAATCTTATTTTATTTAGATATTTTTAAAAGAAAGACATTTTTTTCTGACATGCTTAATAGATACACTTTTTAATGTACAGTTAAAAGTTTAGTTTTTTTTATTGCATCATCATCATCTTACCTGAAGTCAAAGCGAAGCAGCAGAGATCATGTCCGCTAAACGATTCCAACAGCGCTTCATCACGGAATTCTGGGAATCTGTGTGTTTTGAAATTTGATTAGACAACCTCGCAGTGGTTAGAGCTGTTAATGGTATCACGAGTAAGAGATACCTGGCTTCTCAATGTTAGGTTTTAACCTGGCACGCATAAAGAAACTCTTTCTTTAACCACTAGGCGCTCTCGTTACTGATTATTTATTGATTCAAATGGACGTTGGCGTCCCCGAACTGTCCCATGGGGTTTTGGTGTAGCTTGATTTGATTGCGGTGAACGTCTCGGGTTACGTATGTAACCCTGGTTCCCCGAGAAGGGGAACGAGACACTGCGTCGGTTACGACACTATGGGAACGCCTCTAGGCGAAGCAGGTCTGAACGTGAATGAAATCACTCCAATCCTATTGGCTTGTTTGCTAGAACGGTAAGGTGTGACGGAATAACCGGAGGAGTATAAAGCACACCTGTACACACTCATCATTAGCTTAAACTATGAAGCAGGCACTTCAGGCGGGGAGAGAGGTGCGGCGGGCCGACGCAGTGTCTCGTTCCCCTTCTCGGGGAACCAGGGTTACATACGCAACCCGAGACGTTCCCCTTCGAGGGAACTCGAACTGCGTTGGTTACCGAAAACCCCGCCTGCCCCAGTGTGCAGTAAAGTGGCACGACTAAGAGGAGAGTGCACGAGTAGGTCAAGACTGTAAAACCGAATGAATGTGTGCGGAGTGGCCCAGCCAGCCGCTAAACAAACATCCTGCAAAGAGGCCCCGGAAAGGAGGGCTCGAGAGGCCGCCATGCCTCTGGTAGAATGAGCCCTCACAGCCACAGGTGAAGGCAAACCGCGCACCTGATAGGCCAGGGAAATAGTCTGAACAATCCAGTTGCTAATAGTATGTTTGGATGCAGGGAGCCCGGCCCTGGGAGACCCAAAACACACTAGCAGCTGGTCAGCCTTCCTCCAACGGGAGGACCTCAGACTGTAAATACTCAGTGCTCTGACAGGGCAGAGCAGATGAAGTCTCCCGTCCTCCGCCGTCACATGAGGTGGAGGATGAAATGCCTGCAGCACTGTGGACCCTGCCGCACAAGAAGGCACTTTAGGGATGTATCCTGGACCAGGGTGCAGAATAGCCCTAATATTCCCCGGGGCAAACTCCAGGCTTTGCGGGGAAACCGAAAGCGCTTGGAGATCCCCCACCCTCCTCTGAGAGGTGATAGCAAGGAGAAAGGCCATCTTGAGGGTCAAGTGCTTAGCCTCAGCTGACTCCAGGGGTTCGAAGGGGGCCTCAGCCAACGCCCCAAGAACCACTGCCAGATCCCAAGTGGGAACCTTGGACCGAGTCGCAGGTCTCATCCTCCGGGCACCACGGAGGAAACGTACAACCAAGGGAAGTTTCCCCAAGGACCCCTCCCTCAGAGGGGTGTGGAAAGACGAAATAGCTGCCACGTACACCTTGAGGGTGGAAGGGGAAAGACCAGCAGAGAACCGGTCCTGGAGGAACTCAAGTACCTGAACCACCGGGCAGGTAACAGGGTCCACCAACCGCTCCCTACACCAAGTGGAGAAAACGCTCCACTTCAGGCCGTACATCCTCCGTTTGGACGGGGCCCTGGAGCTCAGGAGGGTCTCGACTGCTCCGGCTGTTAGACCCGCCTCTAGGTACTGTGCCCCCTCAGGGGCCAGACCCACAGTCGCCATATGGCGGGGCGAGGGTGACAGCAGGAGGTCTGCGCCTGGGACAGCAGGTCTCTCCTCAGAGGGACCCGCCACGGCGGGCCATCCAGGAGCGACATGATGTCCGAGAACCACAGCCGGGTTGGCCAGAATGGGGCTAACATTGTCCTGGCGGACCCGCTCCAGAACGCGTAAAGCGTACAGACGTAGCCTTGGCCACGAATGCACCATGGTGTCCAGACCCAACGGGGCAGGAGGAACGAGAGAAAACCATAGCGGGCAGTGCGTAGTCTCTTGAGACGCAAACAGATTCACGTCTATGGGGCCGAACTCTTCGCACAAGAGCTCCACCACTTCGGTGTGAAGTCTCCATTCCCCGGGCCATGTGCTGTGGCCGGTGGAACTCAGTCCTCTGGAAGTTCTGGTTCTTATCAGCCCAGGGTGGCCGCGAGTGGCCGCAAGTGGCCCCGACCTTGTTCAGGTCGGCGAGGCAGTGCGTGCCTCTGATCCTGAGTCGGCTGGGGAGCTTGTGAGGGATGGGTGGCAGAGGCAGGTGGTTCGCCACCCGAAGCTCCTTCCAGCTCCATATGGGGGGACTTTTAAGTCGACGTTTAAGATGCCCCGAGGTTCAGAGTGCCGGGTCATGGTATGTCTCTGCTTTTCGAACCCTTTTGTAGCTGCCTACTTGTTTGGGTGCGGGGGCATGCCGCGACACCCAAATGGTGACTAGTTGTGGGATGGAGATTTTGAATGAAAAGGCATTTAAAGTTCTTCCTGCTCTTCCTCCATTTCAGTGTTCTCGTTTTTGGTACCGAAGTACGCTTGTCGCAAACGGTGATAATATTGTTGAGGAGGCTCTGAACGCTCTTGCTTAACCGCAATTGCAGCTGCCAAACCTGCTTGGGATCTCAAATCAGAATATTCTTCCACCAGCGTTTGACAGAGTATGTCATAATCTTCTCTGACATACCTAGGTTGGCGTTCAATGAAACTACTAACCTCTCGACTAGATGTTACCTTGATGAAGTAAATCTTGTCATCTACTGTGGCAGCAGGGAATTTACTTAAGTAGTAGTCACTGTCTTTTAGATAGATGTTGGTTTTGTTCAAGCCCCCAGCGCTAGGTTGGAAACGCGTTATATAGCGAGTGATTTTGTCGAGGTCACTATCAGAAGGGCTCAGACTGTCGTCAGTAGCGGGACGGTGGACGTGGCCGAGGTAGGTGAGTCATTTTAACCTTAGCAGGTGGGGGTCTCCTTACCTGGGGCTCAGTCATGTGGTCTGGTGGGATTAGGGGGAGTGGTTGTGAGGACCAGTCTTCTAAGTCTGGTAAAGGGGAGTGAGGACGGTCCCTTTCAGGCAGGGGCTGCAAGAAGGGGTTTGTATGTTGGCCTATTTCAAGTGAGAGTTGGAACTCTCTTCTGGCGTCGGCCAACTCCTCCTCCTTGATCTCCTGCTGTCGCAGTGTTTGTGCTATTCTGTCCCTAGCCTCCGCTAGCTGTTTTTGCACAGCCTATGTGTGTGTTTAGATTGTGCAGACATCACAATCGCCATTTTCCCAAGCATCTGGGCAAGGGCTTTGTCTTTCAGTGGAGTGACTAGTGCAGTTGCTACCAGCTGTGCCAGCACCGTCTCAAGTTCAACAGCATCAACGTTTTGGATGTCATTTGAGTAGCCAGGTATCAAATCATCAGTCATGTCTGCCAGTGCTGGATCTAAGTTGTCCAGCGGGTCTCCCCCACTGCTCACAGATTTTTCCGATGTGTCTTGGTTTGCCATGTTTGAAAACACCTTCTGGTTAGGGATTTTGTTTTGGGTCTCAACCTGACAATAAGCAAGAGTGTTAACTCAGAGGAGATGTTTCTAAAATAAAAAGGGATGTTGCTGCTATGGCTTACTGGAACTGTGTATATGGTCCTTTAAGTTATTTTAGAAGGTGGGGATCTGAAGAAAAGAAGAGAAAATCAAAATCAAATACAGAAATCAAATCTATGGACTCTCAGTCACACAATTTGCTTTAAGGGAATCAAGTGGACTACAGGTGTTCACTAGTACAGCACGCCTGAGTCTGTTAGTTAAGCAGTGTGTTTACTAGTTGGGGAAAACAAAAGGGGTTTCAGGTTGGAAAAAGCTGACTTCCAAATCAGACTTGGATGGTTAAACTGGAAAACAAAACAAATTTAGGATGAAAAAATAAATAAAACTTAAAAATTAATAAAAACAAATTATGAAATTAAATCACACTTGGGATTAAAGTTATATACTCTAGATCCACTCAAAGTTAAGGTTACAACTGGCTTGGTAATCAAAGCTCAAACTCATTGACGATCCAAGTCAAAGTTGAGAAAAATTAATATTATTAAAAAAATTAATTTCCCTTTTTTTTCTTTTAGATTAAATTAATTAAACCTTAAAATTCCAAATTCCAAGAGGTCCCTGGAACCCATATTCTCAGTTTGTAAAGGCTAACACACCCAAATTCTTTTTTCTTTTTTTAAAAAAACCGATGTCCCTCCAGCAGCCTGGTAGGCCTTTAGCGAATGAGGAGGTGGATACCATCTTGTGCCAGACAGGAACAGAGTAGTAGTAGTAATATACTCCTTTGTCTTCATTATTTATTTAATTAAGTATTAATTTGTCAACGGGCCAGAGAGGGTGCAGAAATGGGGATGTGAGGCACAAACATCACACAAACAGACACCACAGAGGAAGGACACCAAGAGAACGGGGATGGGGACACCAGGAAAACAACAGAGGACACCAGATGCTCCTGTAGCCATGGACCAAGAACGAGGGAGAACCAGGGCCCCCAGCGCCTTTTCAAAGGCAAAGCCACTGGCGGCCAGGCCCTGCAAACTTCAAGCCGGCACAGACCCCGGAAGAGAGCCCAGCCACCCCCACCTAGACACACGCAAGGAAGTGTGCCAAAACCATCCCCAACAACATCGGCCATGCGTCCCTGGGACGGCCCTCATCGTGAGAAAGCCGGCAGGGGGAAGGAGCAGGCTGCAAATAGAAGAGTTCATATCCAATATATTGAAATACAATAATTTTATTTATTCAATGAACTATGTGAATTAATTTTGTTTGTATTTTCCTTTAGCTTTGGCAATTCTGTTGTATTAACGTTCATGCCAATAAAGCAAATTTCATTTCAACCTGAATTTTTTTCTCCGTGAGATGGAAGAATTTAGAAAGTTGCGTGGTGCTGCGGAGAGCCTCCGTTGCATAGTGCACAGATCACGGTAAAATTCATTCAGCCAGAGGGAACGATCACCAACTTTTCGGGGAATAAAGTGTTGGAGGGTACAGGGACAGGGACAGGAGATCGCAGAGTAGGGCACGGTGCGGTCAGTAATTGTTCCCTG